TATATTGATTTTGTATCCTGCTACTTTGCTGAATACACTTAATTAGTTCTAAGAGTGTCTTGGAGGAGTCTTTGGGATTTTCTATATATAGTATCGTGTCATCTGCAAATAGTGGCAGTTTTACCTTTCCCTTTCCAGTTTAGATGCCTTTTATTTACTTTTCTTACCTAATTGCGGTAGTTAGAACTTCCAGTACTACGTTGAAGAACATAGTGGGCGTCCTTGTCTTGTTCCTGATCTTGGAGGAAAAGCTTTCAGCTTTTCACCATTGAGTATGATTTAGCTGTGGGTTTGTCATATGTGGCCTTAATTATGTTGAGGTATGTTCCTCTGTATCTACTTTGTTGAGACTTTTTATCATGAATGTATGTTGAATTTTGTCAAATGCTTTTTCTGCTTTTATTGAGATGATCATATGATCTTTATCCTTTGTTTTGTTAATGTGGTGTATCACATTGTTGCATATACATATGTTAAACCATCCTGGCATCCCTGGAATGAATCCCGCTGGACATGGTGTATGATCCTTACAATGTATTGTTGGATTCAGTTTGCTAATATTTTGTTGAGGATTTTGACATCTGTATTCATCAAGGATATTGGCCTATAGTTTTCTTTTTGTGTGTGTGTGGTGCCTTTGACTGGTTTTGGTATCAGGGAAATGCTGGCCTCATAAAATGAACTTGAGAGTTTCCTTCCTCTTTAGTTTTTTGGAATAATTTGAGAAGGATGGGTATAAGTCTTCTCTAAATCTTGGGTAGAATTCACCTGTGAAGCCATCAAGACCTGGACCTTTGTTTGGGGGAAGTTTTTCGATTACTGATTCAATTCTGTTACTGGTATTTGGTTTATTTAGATTTTTCTATTCATGATTCAGCCTCGGAAGACTGTATGTTTCCATTCCCTCTGGGTTGTCGAATTTGTTGGCGTATAATTGTTCATAGTAACAATTTGTTACTCCTTTGTATTTCTGTGATGTTAGTTGTAATTTCTCCACCTAATCACCATAGGATAATGAGGAGATGACGGTGAGGACATGGCACTCATAGGCCATGTTACAGGTTAACTTCGTTTTAATGAAATGAATTGACTCCCTGAAAAATTTAATGTCACATTTTATAAATCAAATTCTATTCTCTTTGACTTCCTTTAATTTCAGAGATAATTTTTTTCCATAATTTTAATTGACTTTTAACTGGCAACACTTCTTAATTTAAGCTTTAAATTTTTTTTCCTTTGGCCAAGTTTTTCCATTAATATTTTATGAAACAAGGCCTCTGGGGACAGACACTATCATTTTCTTATTTGTAAAATGTTTTACGGTTTTCCTATAATGAATGAACCTCTCTTTTTTTAATATTAGATTCCCAGATGACTCTTTTAAAGTAGGATGTGACTTTATTTCGGGGTGTGTGAGTGTGTGCCAGTGTGCTTGTTCCCCTAATGTCGCCTGTAATCCCTTCTCTAATGTAATGACATTGTTTGCATGGGAGGCAGGGTGCAGAGCCAGGTGTGTGTGTAGCGTGAGAGCCGGAGCTTCTCATGCCTGCAGGCCTGGCTCCCACCCATTCCTATGCCTGGCATGGCTGCTGTGCCTGGTGAGCTCCTACTCAAACGATGGCCCTTGCCACCCAAAGTACAACTGGGGAGGGCAGCCTCGCCTGGGAGCCAGCTAGGCAGCCAGACACACGGGTCAGAATCTCCACCCCCGTGCACCCCAGCACTTCATAGCATGACTTTAAGCCCACTCCTGTCCCCTGGGCTGAGGCACTTAGTAGGTAGGGGACACAGTCTCCTTCTTTGATCACCTTCCCATGACGCTGGGCCCTTCCCTGTGTCTTACCTGTCTGCCGTCTTCTGGAATCACTTATCTGGTTGCACAGGTGACCATCGGCTTCTAATTGATCACTTCCTTGGTTCTAGATCAGAACCATTTCAGACCTGCTGAATCAGAATCCTTGAGGGCAGAGCCCCACATCTACATTTTATCAGACTCCCTGATTGGTTCTTTGTACCAGTTGGAGCCGAGAGCCCTGTGTTGGTCCCTGGGCTCTCCCAAGGCAAGGCAAGGGTTAACAGGAAGTGAAGTTGATTTTATTCATTTAACAAAAATGTATTGGCAGGGAATTCCCTGGCAGTCCAGTGGTTAGGACCCCACGCTTCCCTGCCAACAGGCCTGGGTTTAATCCCTGGTCGGGGAGCCAAGATCCCATTGGCTGTGTGGCCCTGCCAAAAGCGAACAAGCAAAGATGTATTGGGAGCTAAAGATTTTGCAAACTTGTTTTTTTTTGCAAACGTTTAAAAATATCCAGACACACCATAAAAACAGCAACAGAATCATATTTTTGTGAGGACTGTAATAGTTTAAACCAGCTCTTGCACTGATCTTAAACACTCGGTGAGCCAAACGCAAAGCCGGGACTGGACCGGGGCTGCCCTGGGCTCCCGGCGTCCAGTGCACAGCCCGCCGGGGTGAGCTGTGTCAGGGGAGAGGCAGGCAGGGTGGGGGCGGTCAGCTGCACAGGGAGCCAGGGCGTCGCAGGGGAAGGGCCGGCCCAGCTGGGAGCGAGGGCCCCTTTCTCTGGAGATGTGCCCTCCGCTCCCCGCAGCCGGTGGGGGAACAGGGGGCATTGTGTTCCCACAGTTAAGATGTTTGGGGTCCCCCAGCAAGGCTGAAATGACTGAGCCTCGGTCATTCAGAGGGTCACTGGGGTGGAAAGTGACCCGTGCTTAGGGGAGGGGAATTTAAGCCAGGTGCGGAGGGGGGCTGTGAGGAAAGCGGTGGCCCCGAAAAGCAACAGGGCGCGATTGCCCACGGCGCCTGGGCCTGCGAAGGCCCGGGAAACCCCAGCACAGCCGCGCTCCCTCTCCCGCCGCCCGCGAGGGGCCCGTCGGCAGGTCCTCGGCTGCGGCCACAGACCAGGGCGGCCCGGAGGGGCTGGACCGGCCCCCGAGCCCGGGCTCTGCTCCACGGGGTGTGTGGACGCGGACGTCTGGGGCGGGCAGCGTCCGCCGAGGTCAGTGGGAGGGTAACCGGTGGTGGCTGACCACGGGGACCGACAGGAAATCCCCCCGCGCGTGGGCGCCCGGCTCCAGGCCCGCAGCCGCCGGCCTCCTGCGCCCTCCCTTCCCGGGGCTCCTGTGGGTCCGCGAGGCAGGCGCTCGCCGATGGCATGTGCTCGTCAGGAGGAAGGACACCCGCCGGCGAGCCCGTGCCCTCCATCGCGTCCCCTCGGCGGGCGCGTATCCGGTGCCCAAAGTGCTCTCGGCCCGGGCTGGACACGGGGGCGCCGGAACGTCAGAGCCATGTCCCCTGCCCGCATGGTGTTCTGGGGCAGCCCTGGGACGAGGCGGGTCGGGTGATGCCCCCCCGCCCCGTCGTGGATGGCACCACAGGGCCACTGGCAGTCCTGGGGACCCATCATGTGGCTCTTAGTTTTATTCACCTGTGTGCTTACTTACACACACGTGCACACATACATACACACACATCACACATATACACACATCTGCATGCACGCATATGTATACACGCATGCACAAGTACACATACCTGCACACACATATATACATGCACACACGTATACACACACACACTACACACATATACATGCGCACACACCCATGCACACACTTGCACATACACACATACATATACATACACACATACACGAACACATATATACACACATACATACACATGCATACACACATACAGTTAAATCACTTTTCAGAGTTTTGGACTTCAGGGTCGCATTTGACCATTTGATACCCTGTGGCTTTTTTGCCTGAGACCCAGCAGCATTTGGGTGTCTGGCTGCGGCGTGGCTCCCCTTCCAGAGGCCCTGAGGGCCAGGGACCACCGGTCCACCAGAGCCAGTGCCTCTGCTGCTGGTCTCATTTTAGGCGACTGTCATCCTGGGAGCAGCTTCCTCCACGTGGTGGCCACAGGAGCCCCGCTACTTGGAGGACGGGGACGCCTCTGAGCCATCTGCATGGCGCCCCCCGGTGGCCAAATGACCGAAGCTCTCCTAAGTGTGCCCCACGCACAGATCTCTCTTGAATGTTGGAAGAGGGCTGCCCTGTGACACGTTCCCTGCACACCTGCACCCCTCCAGGCCAGGGCTCGCCCGTGCCAGCCGTGGCCAGCATGCAGGACATCGGCTCCCATCCTTCCTATCAGTACCAGTGCTGGGAGTAGAGAAAAATGTCAGATTTGTTCATACTAAAGTGTTATTGACTTACCTTGAGGTTATGCACGTCCTTACTAAGTACACTTTAAGGGGATTTCAGCACCACTAACTGTCCCCAGCTTGGGCGGGCAGAGGAGTCCCCATCCAGCCACCGTAGGGTCCGGCGGGCCCCGTGACCAGAGCAGACTCTGTGGCAGGCATCACCGACTCAGGAGCTCAGTGTCAGGCTCCGTGTGCTGCCTGTATCACACCACACCCCGTGCCAGCTAATCCGCATCCAATGTCAGAAAAGTAAATCGCAGGAGGGTCATGGAACTGTCTAGATTCTAAGACGAGCACACCGCTCTGGAAGCATCTCTGCGTGTACACACTCCTCCTCCACACCACTCACTCACACGTGCGCACACACGCGCACCTCGGTTCCCTTTGTGGCACAGACCACACGGTGCTGCCAGGGCCTCCAGATGAGGCCGTGTCTGTACACATGGGTTCTGTGAGCCCGGGGCGGGGGGCGGCTGACGTGGAATAACCAGCCCCCCACCCCACCTCCAGGTGAAGTTTCCAGGCTGGAACGCGGTCCCGCGATGGCGGGGCTGCTGTCAGATCGGCACCTCCAGGCCCGGGTCTGTGGTGCCACGTCTGGGGAGGGAAAGGGTTGGGAAGGCTTCCCGTCTCCGCCATTCTCCTCTTCTGAACATCTTTACGGGACCGTGTTCAGAGTTTCCTGACAGGGTCCCACCCCTCGCTGACAACGAGCGCCTCCGGGAGAACTAACCCACTTGGCCTCCGTTCTGTGTGTCTCTCCAGAAAGACAAGAAGCCCGGGCTGCTGAAGCTGCTGGCCGGCGCGTCCACCAGGAGGAAGTCGCGCTCCCCGCCGTCCACCTCTCCCACCCACGACCCCCGGGCAGCGGTGGACGCCTCACTCCAGGGCGCGGTGGGGCCCGAAGTGTCCTCACTGTCCGTCCACGGCAGGGCCGGGTCCTGCCCCGTTGAGGGCGAGATGCAGGGGGCCTTGGGGTTGGAGCCGCTGCACAGGAAGGCGGGCTCCTTGGATCTGAGCTTCCCGTCGCCCTCCCGGCAGGCCCCTCTCTCCGCGGCCGCCATCCGCCCCGAGCCCAAGCTGCTGCCCAGAGAGAGGTAAGGGTGGGCCTGCGTCCTCCTGGGCCTGGGTGTGGTGGTCTGTGAGGTCTGGAGCCATGTTGGGGAACAGGGATGACGCAGGTTTCTGGGTTTCAACCTGCCAGGCGGCCCTCACTATCCCATCAGCTCAGATAAAACGGGAGCGCGTTTCACATTCTGAGTCCATCTGGGTCCTGAGTTTGTATTTACAAGGGATCCATCTGGAAATCTGGTGGAACTGATGGTGTCCTGAGCCCGAAGAGCGAGCAGTGGAGTGAGGGACCTGCATCCCCCTGCCCCGAAGGAACCCGCAGTGACCCTGGGCTGAGTCCCCCATAGGCCTGAGCGAGCCCCGCCCTGGGGAAGCTCTTCCAGGCTTGGCCCACTCTGACACCTGGCCCCAAACTGCCTTCAGGGTTACACCGTGTGAAATGGCCGGTATTCGTGTTTTTTGCCAAAGACAACAATTTCTTAGAGTTCAGCGTAGAGTTTTCCAGGTCAGGAAACTGAGTCCCCCGAGGCCTCGGGTGGAAGCGGCCGGAGGCCGGTGTCCTGCTTGTGGGCCAGCCCGTTTGAGTCATCGGTCCTTAGAGAGCCTCAAAGAGGGCTGAAGGGCGCTCAGGGGAGGAAACGCTTTCCTTTCTAAGTGCCCCTCCTCCTGGGAGAGCTGCCTAAACGGTAAAAAGGGGAGCATCTCCTGAGCGCGCAGTCCTGGCATTTCTGGCAGATCCTTCCCCCACTCGGCCACACTGACCGATGCCAGCCCTTCCGTCTGGCCTGAGACGCACCACACACGTCACACGCACACCCACCATGTACACCACACACACACACACACACACACACACACACACACACACACACACACACACACACGAAGTGCACACCACACACCCCCTCCTCTCTCCCTCCACTTCCTTTCCCAAGGGAGCCTCCGCCTTCGGGCAGCTCTCCCACGTCAAAACCTTCTTTCTGCCACGGGACCAACCCAGCTGCCTGTGATTTCTGAATGGGGGTCCCGGCCCCTCCTCCGGGTCCCAAAGTTGGGGGCTCTGGGGAATGACAGGTCCCCTAAACGTGTCGAAGCTGCTCTTGTGTCTCCCCTGGGTTTCTGCCTTCCCAGATCCTCAACTTCTAGACTCCACAAAGGGCTTAAAGACCCTGTTGTAAAGAAATCATGGGAGTCTAGGATTAACTAGGAAGTTCAGGGAATTACTCCCATTAGCTGACTATCCTAATTGGGGATATTGTACCCGGGGCCCTGGGCGCCCTCCTGCCCCCAGTACCCTGCACAGCTCCTTAGTGACCACTACTGCCTAGCGCGGCCCTCACCCCACACAGCCCTCAGGACTCCCACGTACTGGCCCCCAGCAGGTCGGAGCTGAGGACGTGACAATGGCAACGTCACCTTCAGGCCGGGGCAGCTCCCGAAACACCTGGACTCGGGCCGGTGGGTCACACTGACCTCGCAGCTGTGACCAGAGTCCTGCATGGAGAGCGCACCCTCACTCACACCCCAGCCCCTGTTTGGGGGCCCACCAAGGGGGGCTGTGCATGAAGGGCAGGCTGGGCTCGGTCCATGCCCCCAACATGCATCACAATCTTGCAGCAAGAGAAAGACCTGGCACTTAAACAGCCATTTCACCCAGACGAGTGTCTGCTTTTTGAGTCCCGGCCCCTACATACAACATGGGGATGATAGTGCCTGGTGGCTATAATGGCCGCAAAACACCTAGATTAATACCTGGAAAAGGATGAATGCGTAGTGAACGCCAAGGGCAAAAACAACCGTAACAACGCATGAGATGATATGGGAGACGACGCTGTGTGACATGACGTACACGACAGGGAGGCCGTGGTGAGGGCCGTGGCCCCCCCCACCTCCGCATTGATTGACAGGCCTCCCCACCTGTTCACACGCCCAGTCCGTGTGTCCTCACCTCTCGCCGGCCTCTCAGCTGTTCGGCTCTGTTGGGATTTAGGAGTTTCTTGCTTTGGTCCATTGTGGGTCATGGGAGGCTCCCAAAGACGTCTGTGCCCTAATCCCCAAACCAAGGATAAGGTGGCAGATGGACCGAGCAGCTGACCCTGAAGTGGAGAGGTCGTGCAGGCCCCGCGGCGGCCCGTGTGACCTCAGGAGTCCTCGCAGGTGGATGAGGAGCTCGGCCTGCCGTCCTGGCTTTGAGATGGAGGGAGAGGCCTCCAGCGGAACGCCGCAGCCTCTGGGGGCTGGAGGAGGGGAGGGGACACAACCTGCCCCGGAGCCTCCATCCCTCGACTTTGCCCCGTGAGGCCGTGTCGAACATCGGACTTCCGGAACCCCCAGATGAGACGTGTACGTCGTCAGGCGCTGTTCGTGGGAATCCGTCAGAGCCGCCACAGGGACCCAAGGCATGTGTAGACCTTAGAGTTTGGTGTCCAGGGTGTATTCTTATCATTTTCAAGGTCCTGGAGAGACACCACTGTGATGACCACAGCCCCCAACCCCGGACCACTCGCCCTCATGGGCACCGACACGGGGGCTCTGAGGATATGCCCAACCCCACAGGCAAAGCGACTGCCTCTGCAGCGGTCGGATTCCCTTCGAGTTCTGCACCTTTGATCCGTGAGTCTGATGTCTGCAGAGTGGCTGTGGTTGACGCAGCCGCTCAGGACAGTCTCTGACGTGTGACGCCAGGATGGTGCCACTGTTCGCTTGGCCCTTTGGGGCCACTGAGCATCAGTTTCTTTCAGCGTCTTGGAAGGATCTGGACAGAAAACTGAATGCTGGTCTTGTAGACGTTCAGCCCACATCATCCATCCGGGCTCATTAAATCATGGGATTGCTCAGAAGCACCAAATTAATTTTTTTCTAGCAAATTACACTTTTAAAGTTGCTTGTTTCACATCTGGCAGTTGAGGCAAAAGCTAAAACTCATGTTGGGAGCGTGAGGAATGATCTCGACGCGTTCTCTCCTGGGGACTTGAGGGAAGGGGGCGGTGTTTGGAAGAGGGGGATGGGCAGGAAGCCGGGGTGAGGGGAGGGCGGTGCTGGTCCTGGCAGTCCTGCAGCCTGGGCG